CCCCCACCCCACTGAGCCCCGTCCCCCCGCAGAGCGGTGCCTGGAGGACCACGAGTCGGTGGTGGAGGTGCAGAGCTCCTGGCCCCCCGGCGCCGACAGCCGCTTCGTCTTCCGCAAGAACTTCGCCAAGTACGAGCTCTTCAAGAGCAACGCGGTACGTGGCCCCGAGGGGCAAAGCCAGGGGTCCCCCACAGGGTCCCTGAGCACCCCGTGGGTCGCCCCTGACCCCCCCTGTCCCCCCCAGCAGTCCCTCTTCCCCGAGGTGATGGTGTCCAGCTGTCTGGAGGCGAACAAGAGCATGGCACACTCCGAGCTCATCCAGGTACCGTGCCCGGCTGTGCCATGGGGACCCCACTGTCCCATGGGGGACCTCACCATGCCATGGGGGACCTCACTGTGCCATGGGGACACCACTCTGCCATGGGGTCACTGTTGTGCCATGGGGACCCCACCATGCCATGGGGACCTCACCATGCCATTGGGGACCCTCCTGTGCCATGGGGGACCTCACCATGCCATGGGAACTCCACCATGCCATGGGAACCTCACCATGCCATTGGGGACCCTCCTGTGCCATGGGGTCCCCACTGTGCCATGGGAGACCCTGCTGTGCCATGGGGAACCCCACCATCCCATCGTGACCTCACTGTGCCATGGGGACCCCACCGTGCCATGGGGGACCCTTCTGTGCCATGGGGGACCCCACCATGCCATGGGGACCTCACCATGCCATGGGGACCCCACTCTGCCATGGGGTCACTGTTGTGCCATGGGGACCCCACCATGCCATGGGGACCTCACCATGCCATTGGGGACCCTCCTGTGCCATGGGGTCCCCACTGTGCCATGGGAGACCCTGCTGTGCCATGGGGGACCCCACCATGCCATGGGGACCCCACCATGCCATGGGGACCCCACCATGCCATGGGGACCTCACCATGCCATTGGGGACCCTCCTGTGCCATGGGGTCCCCACTGTGCCATGGGAGACCCTGCTGTGCCATGGGGGACCCCACCATGCCATGGGGACCCCACCATGCCATGGAGATTCCACCATGCCATGGGGACCCCACCGTGCCATGGAGAGTCTACCATGCTGTGGGGGACCCCACTGTGCCATGGGGGACCCTGCTGTCCCCTGGGACCCCTCCGTGTCCCTCAACCCTCATCTCCCCCCAGAACTTCCTCAACTCTGGGAGCTGCCCCGAGGTCCAGGGCTTCCTGCACCTGCGGGAGGCCGGACGCAAGGTCTGGAAGCGCTTCTACTTCTCCCTGCGCCGCTCGGGGCTCTACTACTCCACCAAGGGCACCTCCAAGGTGAGGGGGGCAGGAGGGGGCACGGCTTGGGGGGTGGTACATGGGGACAAGTCCTGATGTTTCCCCCCCCACCCCAGGACCCCCGGCACCTCCAGTACTTCGCCGACCTCACCGAGTCCAACATCTACTACGTGACGCAGGGCAAGAAGCTCTATGGGACTCCCACCGAGTTCGGCTTCTGCATCAAGGTGGGGATGTCCCTGCCTGGCTGGGGGGTGTCCCAGTCCTTCCGTGTGCCCTCCCCTGCCAAGGGGTCTCTGTTCCCCCCCCCCGGTGATGGCTCTGCTCTCTCCCCACAGCCCTACAAGGTGCGGGGCGGTGTGAAGGGCCTGAAGCTGCTCTGCAGCGAGGACGAGCAGAGCCGGAGCTGCTGGATGGCGGCTTTTCGCCTCTTCAAGGTGGGGTCCGGTGCCACCGAGGTGTTACCAGCCCCGTGCTGTGCTGGGGGGGTGCTGGGGGGAGGCTTGAGGATGCTGGGGAGATGCTGGGAGGATGCTGGGGAGATTGCTGAGGGGGATGCTGGGAGGATGCTCGGACGATGCTGGTGGAAGGATGATGCTGGGAGGGTGTTGGGATGCTGCTGGTGGGATGATGTTGGGGTGATGCTGGGAGGATGCTGGTGGAAGAATGATGTTGGGGTGATGCTGGGAGGATGTTGGTGGAAGGATGATGCTGGGAGGGTGTTGGGATGCTGCTGGTGGGAGGATGATGTTGGGGGGATGCTGGGGGGATGCTGGGGAGATGCTGGGGGCATGCTAGAGAGATGCTGGGGGGATGCTGGGGAGATGCTCACCTCCCTGTGCTGGGGGGATGCTGGGGAGATGCTCACATCCCTGTGCTGGAAGATGCTGGGGAGATGCTGGGGGGATGCTTGGAGGGATGTCCCCATCCCTATACTAGAAAAGATGCAGGATGGGTGTCCCCGTCCCCGTGCGGGGTAGATGTAGCTGTCCCCTTGCCCACACTGGGTGGATGTGGAGGTCCCCATCCCCGTGCCAGGCAGGTGCTCCCCCACCCCGCTGTGGGACAGAGGCCCCACAGGTGTTCCCCCCACAACTCACGGGGCTGTTCCCCCCCCAGTACGGCATGCAGCTCTACCGCAACTACCAGCAGGCGCAGGCACGGCTGAACCAGCCCTCCTGGATTGGCCCCACACCCCTGGTGAGTGCCATCCCCCCCTCCTCACCCCCCCTGCAGCCCCTATCCCGTGGGGAGCCCCCCAGTCACCCCCTCTCCTCACCATCATCCGCAGCGGAGCGTCTCGGACAACGCGCTGGTGGCCATGGACTTCTCGGGGTGCACGGGGCGGGTGATCGAGAACCCCAACGAGGTGCTGACAGTGGCCCTGGAGGAGGCTCAGGCCTGGAGGGTGAGTTGGGGGTGCAGGGGTGCGAGGTGGTGGTGGGGTGGGGGGGCACCACCCCCAAACTTATCCTAAAGCCTGCTCCTTGCTTTGCACGGCCAGAAGAAGACGACGCACCGGTACAGCCTGCCGGCTGCCTGCCAGAGCTCCCCGCTCAGTGCAGGTGAGTAGCACCCAGATTTGGGGTCCCACCAGCTTGGGTCAAGGATCTGGGGGGGTTTCCTGCCCCAGGGCAGGTGTTCCCCCTGCATCACAAGGATCTGGGGGGGTTTCCTGCCCCAGGGGGGGTGTTCCCCCTGCATCATAAGGCTCCGGGGAGACCTTATAGCGGCCTTTCAATACCTGAAGGGTGCCTATAGAAGAGCTGGGGAGGGACTCTTTGCCAGGAAGGGTAATGATAGGACAAGGGGAAACGGTTTTAAATTGGAAGAAAAAAGATTCAGATTAGATCTCAGGAAGAAATTCTTTACTCTGAGGGTGGTGAGACACTGGAACAGGTTGCCCAGGGAAGTTGTGGCTGCCCCATCCCTGGAGGGGTTCAAGGCCAGGCTGGATGTGGCCTTGAGCAACCTGGTCTGGTGGGAGGTGTCCCTGCCCAGGGCAGGGGGGTTGGAACTAGATGATCCTTGAGGTCCCTTCCAACCCAAACCATTCTATGATTCTATGATTCCCTGCCCCAGGGGGGGGTTCCTGCCCCGGGCGGGGGTTCCCCCCACCCCTGATGCCCAATTTCCTGCAGCCATCCACCGCACCCAGCCCTGGTTCCACGGGCGCATCTCCCGGGAGGACACGCAGCAGCTCATCGGCCGGCAGGGCTTGGTGGACGGGTACGGGGACACCTTTGGGGGGGGTCTGGGGTCCCTGGGATTCATGGGGGGGGGGACATTAGAGCCCTGGGGGGTACATCACCCCGGGGGTTATAGGGGAGGTGATGCAGGACCCCTGGGAGATGGGGGGAGAGTTGCTGGGGGAACAAGGTGTCGAAGGGGGATTGGGACCCTCCAGGGGTGCAGGAGCGTGGGGTTGGGGGGGACACTACAGCCCCCCAGGGGGGTACAGAGCTCCTTGGGGAGGTACTGGGGACCCCAGGGGTGACACAGGGGTGGCAGAGGGGGCTGAGGGCCAGCAGTGACCCCCCCCCACCCCGGGTCTTGCAGTGTCTTCCTGGTGCGGGAGAGCCAGAGGAACCCCAAGGGCTTTGTCCTGTCCCTGTGCCACCTGCAGAGGGTCAAACACTATCTCATCCTGCCCGTGAGTGCCAGCGGCGGGGGGCTGCGGGG